AACGAATCAAGCTAAACATTTCTTTCTCGTGATCATTCAAGATCAGGACATTAAATTTTACTGGACGGCAAGAAAAGTCACAGGCTGAATACGGCTGGACACAAGGAGAGAATTTTCGAAAAAATAACAATTATAATAGACATCAAACTCTAGGTATTTTCAAGGAAATTTTAAATTTTATTGACTCTGAAAACCATCTATCACTTGGGATATGACGAGGTATGGATAAAAATGGCGATAATTTGGAACTTCAAACACTGTTGAACGGAAAAGAGGAAGAACAAATCAATGGGGGAGAAAAGCAGAAAAACTCTTCAGCTGTTAATGGTAAGAGTTTTTTAAAAGGTATCATTGTGAGTCGTTTTTGTTCAGTGTTTAGAAAGGCGTAGAAGCCACAATAGTTTAATAACGATTTGTGCCCCCTTGCTCTATTTTTCTATTCCGAGCTTTTTAGAACCACAGACATCGATTAGAAAATTTATCGTGTCACTCTACAAAGCTAAACGTCCTGACGCGCGATAACGTTTTTTAATCATTTCATTCAAAGCAACTGATAACAATAATTGTTAAAATCTAGTAAAAATTCATTAGAATTTCAGTGATCTAAAAATTTTACGAATGCTCTTTAATTGAGAACCGTTTGACAATAGCAAACTACCAGTTATGGCTAATTTGTTCCATCGAATGTCTTTGTTAAGTGATCCTGCATCCCGAATCCATTGTTGCCAAATGTCAGTCCCACCCAGAAATACTACATAACTCGAAAATTTAAACGGCCGGACAATAATAAAATGAATGATAACAAGTCTATTCAGATCATAAGTCTATGTTCAATTTTACAGGAGAAGATGAACAATATTTATTCTGGAGAAAAGCAGCCATATCTATTTCTTGTGCTTCAGTAGTTTTCACCACAGCGTTTGGCGGGACTTTTTTCGGTAAGTTCGTTTCCAGTTCAGATGATTAAAACCTCTTATTTCCCCAAATTTATGAACGATAATTGTAGTGATATCGCTCTAGTATATTACTGTTCTTTGTAAACATGATTTGTTTTAATTTTACATTTAAACTAAGGTCTTGGCAGTTTTGGTTTGTTATTTTATTTTTTATTTTGTCAGTGTTCTCTCAAATTGCTGGAAGCCCTGCAGCTTTCGGATTTGCTGTAAGTTTGATTCGTAATCATACTTCGAAGTCCTTCCTCTAACATCTTG